GAATTGTAATAAGCTTTTTGATTGAAAGAGAAAGGGGAAAGCACAAATGTGGGAAAAGTGAGATACACTGTTAAGTGCAATGAGGGCAACTTACGAAAAAAAAATCCTTTAACCTGACTCATGGTGTTTTCCAATGTAGGTGGCTCACCATAAAATGAAACTAAACCAATCAGTTCAGAAGTACAGCACATAACATTTGTCTACAGAGTTGCAGGATCTTGAACGCCTTTGTATGCAGATGAGGCTGATGTCAGACTTTTTCCAAACGTTTACATGTCCCTGTGTGAAGCTGCTACAGCCTGACAGTGCTGCTGCTATCTAAGGCCTATTCTGAGCTCTCATAATCAGCTTACCAGGTTGAACACCGTCTCCACAATGTCTCGGTTGGAAACTTCTCCAACTTCCACCAGGCCAGCCAGGACGGCAAATTTCATCCTTATCCCCCTGATAGGCACTCCCGGGGTAAGCGACATGGCTCCCGGTCTCCCGTCCTGTCCATCACCCGCTGCTGCCTCCTCGCTAGCCATTGCTAAGGGAGGACGGGGGCAGGTGGTGTTCACAGGTAAGGCACCTGTTCACCTTCCAACGGTGACAGTGCAGCCGATGTCGGAGGAGGGAGAGAGAGAGAAAGAGAGAGAGAGAGAAGGCTCTATCTCCCCTTCAGCTGAGTTGTTGACAGTCTGTAGGCACACAAAACAAGCGTTTCCCTCCCCATTCAAAAGTGTTCAGCGAGTAAGACAAGAAAGTGGGCACATAAGAGCACAAAGAGGGTTTGTTAGCCGCTGACACCACCAGGACTGGAAATGTCACTCCTCGTGAACTCCTCTCCCCTGCTCCGTAACTTGATAGCAGACGGATGGATTAATGCGGGCAAAAAGCTGCAGATAAACTGAAGAGAAAAGGGAGAATGAGGGCTCGTCCTTTTCCTGTTGTCTCTTCTTCTCGGTCAAAAAGGCAAACGAGGATACAGTGACTTTTAATACCTCTGTGCAGCGCTGGAAGTTGCTATTGTCAGTGAGTCAACGGACACTTGACAGGTAGCGCGCATGGAAGAGGCAAAAACTCACAGGGAAAGGGGGGACAAGTCCGTCAGCAGTCCCGGTGGAAGTCGACAAAGGACAGGCGTCCGCTCGGTCCTCCCCGCCAAACTCCCTAGACTTGCTTAAATGTCCCCGTTAACCCAGCTGCGCCGCATTCTCTTCCTGATATACCCCGGTAGCTTCAGCTCGCCACCGCCATGACAGTGTAGCCCTTGAGTGAATGGAGCATGCGCAGTGGGGAGCTTAGCCTATTCAGTGCCGTGGCAGGTGTGCCGCTCAGGTGACTTACCAGCACGACACCCTGGCTGGGACTCTGTTCAAATCAAGAGTTTCCGTGGTTTTCGGTTACAAGGACATTGTTTTCTGAAGTGTAACCAGACTGTTAAGGCTGGGCGAAAACTTATGGGAATATTCGGGTTTACTTGGATGTGGAAAAATCTCGAGACACTTGCACACCTCTTCATGTATGCCTGTGTAACTTAGAGCTTTTAACCTATATTTCTTTTAATTTGCTGAGAATATGTCAAAAACAGGTTCGACAAAGCCTTGGTTTTTTACAGTATTGATTGAAAACAACATTCATACTGAATACTGCCATAATTACCTATATTAATGATTACTCTTAAATTCATTTTTCTTAGTTTCACCAATAAAAGGTTGATTGCAAGGTGAAGTGATACAGATAATGGTGACCAAAAACTTGCTATGTTAAAAATTTCACTTGAGAAAGTGACAAGGTTTGTCTCACAGTCACAGGGTAGGCTTAAGAAATGAGAATTTCCCTTTGTGGGACCAATAAAGGATTATCTTATCTTATCTTATCTTATTATGGCAATTTGACATTTTAGAGTCTAGGTATACAATACTTAACCTATACGGAGTGCATTCCACCTGGTACAGTAAGAGTAACGCCATCATAGCCTTACAGTAAGTACAATAAGTAAGTAATATTTATGTGTCTGTTTCACCTTTGTATCTATTATAGTTTTTTTCTCTCCTGTTAGCACTTTATGTGTTAAGTGTCACAGCAAAATACCACTATTTTGTATCCTTGGAAACATACGTTTAAAACACTTCTAAAGACGCACCTGCTCACTTTGGCCTTCTGGGTAGTATAATTACTTTTATTGAACCTTTATGTATTTTCTATATTTATCTTTACTGTTGTTTTATGTTTTTATATGTTTTATGCTTTTATTGTTTTTATATCTTTTATTGTGTCTGGCTGTTTTACTGTAAAGCACTTTGGTAGGCCACTGGCTGTTTTAAATGTGCTATATAGTAAAGCTGACATTGACATACTTTTTAAAAGTGTTGTACATGCTAGTATCATACTTGCTATAATCTCATCAATCCCAAGATTAAAACGCTTGGGTCCTTTATGAATCAGTATAACAGGGCTGTAGTTTCATAATATATTGCATAATTCACAACCATAGGAACAGGATACCACATACCGCAACAAGAAACCTACATCCTGTTTATTGGTCCTTTTTTTTTATGAATACTATTTTTGATGACACTGCAGATTAATAAAGGGGAAATAAGTAGCAAGTGTGGATAAAAGCAATTATATTTCTCAATGCAATTTAAAAAAACAGTGAACCTTAAATTGCTGCACAATCCCATAATGCTTCATTTAGATTTTGCATGTTTAAGTGTAAATTATGTATTAAAAAAGGCCAAACACAGCTTTGGTGCATGAAAAGAAGGGTTGAAATGTTATATTAAGTGTGTTGTAAAACTTTGTTTTTGCGCAGCACAGCAGTACATTGACAGATGTCTGCATCCTGAGGCAGTGCAGACCAAACATTAAAGCGGAGTGACAGCTATGCTTTGCTTGCCTTTTTAAATCATCAACAACAACCCATCACATGTGAGGTGTATTCATGACTGAGTAAAGATGAGGTTAAAGTTTCAGACTTAAAAAAATTACAATTAAAACTATTTGCAGATTCAAATAACAACTGTTTTTATTAAAAGAATCACATATGAAAATATGTGTCCCCTGGCTTGGCTGCTCATATAAGCCTCTTCTGCTTTCCTCTGCGGGATATCGCTGAGTAACTATGAGTGTTGTACTCACAGAGGCAGCTGGCGTCACCAGCGTTACCACTGACCTCCCGGTAAACTGTAGCTGACTCCTCAAGGATGTTAGGAGTCATGGAAGCCTGGAACTTCACCCAGGAGACAATGACAAGCCTCCTCTCTAGAGTCATGACCTAAAATCAGCAGGCTTGTTTTCTACAGCCTAAGAGTACACTCCTTTAAATGAAGCTTTGAATAACTCTTCCTGACCTTTAAAGTGGATATGAGCCACACTGTGTTATTGTTTCAATTGGACTCTATGGGATAATGAGACTCCGAGTTTTCTGCCACTCTGTTTGTTTAACATGGGCAGAAAGTTTTAAATTCTACAAATAGTAACGGCAATGAATATTTGTAAAGACCTTTATTTCAGACAGTATTTGTCAGTCAAACCTCATAAGCAAGTCTTAATGCTTGCAGTAGACATTTTGGATCAAATTTGACACTAGAACGGCAAATATACAAGAAGCCAAAAGCAATATTCAAGAAAAGACATAATATTTATTCCAATTTCCTTTAGACAATGTGATTTTGTGAGGTCCAATTTAACCTAAATTTTATTGGCAGCGCCACCAGCTGCTGGTGACGAAACAATTCATGTTCATGGGTGTACTTGTAAAACAGTCTTCAAATGGTATTTGGCTTGAAACTGTACATGAATACTACAGTATGCATGTTTTTGTTTTTTTCCCCTGTAATTACATTTTACCAACAGATAAAATTCTTCCCATTGTAATATAACTTGTGGGTGGATAACGCCCCACACACCTGTATGACTTGTTAACACACCTCCAGACTGGTTCTGCTGGTTTTCTTTTTCCATCAAAGTAATCATTGCACTACAACACATTACGCAGATTAATTTTTAAGTGAAAATAAAATATGTGGGTTATGTGATGGACAACTATGGAGGCTAATGAAAGTTGAAAGGGCTTGGACTGAGAATATGTTTTATATTTCTTAACATATTTGATCCTTTATCCAAAACTTTTTCAATGTTAATTTTACTTTTATAACTTGTTCTAAATTTATAGAATTGCACTTACTTCAATTTAACCTCTTTAAAAAAAAATAAAAAAATGTTGCAGGTACCCACTGAGCAATAGACAACTATTAGACGTCTAGTTTTTTTTGTTTTTAGACCTAATTTCAACCGTTGAGATTCTGTGTATTTTTAGACGGAATTTAGACATTGCACTTTAACCCGTTATTTGATAACTATTTATTCCAAAAAGCAACTTTGAGTTGCATAACTGATCTCCAATTACTTAACCAAAATAATTATGATAGCTGGTGAACAATATACAGTATAGTATAGATATAGCCCAGATTTAGATTTAGTCTAAACTTGGTCTAAATTTAGACATCTAAAAAACTTTTATTTTTAGACCTGTGGTAGCCTGATTTTAGACCAGTGGTCTAGGCTATATTAGGACGTCTATTAGACCTTTTTTAGACTAAAACATGCTGCAGTGGGCAATTGCAAAAAGCTGACATGAATACAACAAATGACACAAGTTTCCTCTAAAAATGTATCCTATGGTTCTAAATAATAATTTAAAAAAAACATTCAAAGAATATAAATGATAAAGCTAACAAATGAACCACTAAACCAACATTTAGGGATTTGTTGTTTTACTGTCATATCATAATGCAGGCAACTTGGCACCCAAACACTCTTTGATAAAAGATTTTTGTATATAATTCGTGACCAAACACTGAATAATAATCAAGCTGAATTTTGAATGTGCCACAATACTTATTTGGTTTACATTTACTTTTCAATTAATCAAACAGCCTCTCTTTACTGATAACTACCTACCAGCTCTTTGCCAACAGAGGGCGGCAATGGGCGCTACAAGCGCTCGCGAGAAAACCCAAATCTCACGACGTCAGTCGATCTCTTTATGTCTCGCGGTATTTCCTGTATCTTCCTCTTTTATCCCCTGTAGCCAACATGGCAGTCGGCAAGAATAAGAGGCTGACCAAAGGCGGCAAAAAAGGTGCCAAAAAGAAGATGTAAGTAAAAAATTCAGACAACGCTGTACTAATCAGAGTGTGATTACACCATATGTTATATTTCGGGGCAGAAAATGTTGAGGATGAGGCTGATTTTGAATGGATGTAACGGGGCTAGTGCTAGTCTCGTCATCGCCGGCCTGAGTAGCGCTGGATGGAGTTGTGACATGCTGTCCCCCTTTGCTCCGTGCTCTGCCGGCCCGTCACATTTAAGTCTTTATTCTTGTACTAGTGCAATTCACTCTACATGCTCATACCGCCAAAGAAATAATCCGCATTTGAAAAAGTTTGGCCGCAGAGATGCGAACAGAAATGGTGATAGAGGCGAAAGCTAAGACAAGTTAGCATGGATTAGCAGAGGTTGACAAGCTGTGTTGGATGTCTTTATTGAATGATACTGTTGCCACATGGCGCAAGTAAGAAATAAAACTGTCGGAGATGCACTGCCGGGTTGTTTTTTACTTGCTGTCAAGAACCGAGAAGACTTAAGTCAAACCCGGTTGCTGATGGTGCCCTCTACAGAGTGGTTTAGCTTGCTAGTTGTCATGGTTGGAAAGCCATGAGATCTGTTGGCTTTTCCACCTTCAGACAGATGAACGTCTTCACTTTTCTCCCTCTCTGCAGTGTGGACCCTTTTTCCAAGAAGGACTGGTATGATGTCAAGGCACCAGCCATGTTCAACATCCGCAATCTTGGCAAGACCTTGGTCACCAGGACTCAGGGAACCAGTAAGTTTAGTCCTTTTACAGCGTGTGTTTCTGCTGGAGCATGTCGCTCTCTTCAACTTGAGAGACAGAGAGTAAATGTGTGGAGCATTAGAGTAATCATGCAACAGACTAGGGCTGAGCAATATGGGTAAAAGTTTATCGCAATATATTTTATGCATATCAGTCTATCTATATATATCATGATATAACAAAATCACTTGTCGACCTTAAATGTTCCCTGTTACTCTTAAATGAAATGTAACAGTGCTTATTGGCACTGTCTTTTGCAATACAATAAGCTACTGCATCTGTGAGGTCTTTGTGTCATTCACTTCATTCATGTTTATTGTCTATTCGTATAGTCTATTAAAACACAGCAGAATGCCAACTATCAAAAAGCATATCGACCATGCTTTATACTGATATCGAGGGAAATTAATTTTCATTATATATCTTTATTGTTTAGCCCTAAAACAGACTATATCGAGTAACAGCAATCTTACCAAATACCAACATGACTTGAGCAGATACATAAGTAATCTATGTATGCATAGCATTGGTGATGCAATAGGATGACAAACTGTTTCAGTCCCAAATGATGGCTTCTGATTACTTAGGTCAACTGATTCTTGCCACCCAGCTCCCACAGCCACAAGAGAATAGTATTCATGTGTCTCATGAGTGTTACTTGCAGGCTAACCGGTGTACATTATCTGCGTTTTCCCCTCAGGGATAGCCTCTGATGGTCTGAAGGGACGCGTGTTCGAGGTGAGTCTCGCTGACCTGCAGAACGACGAGGTGGCCTTCCGCAAGTTCAAGCTCATCACTGAGGATGTTCAGGGCAAGAACTGCCTCACCAACTTCCACGGCATGGATCTGACACGTGACAAGATGTGCTCCATGGTCAAGAAATGGCAGGTAAAGATCGTTTTTTTTTTTTTTTTGTTAAGTGCTGAAAGATATCATCCTATGTAATGCCAACACGAACAATGTGAATATCAACTTCAGTAATTGATCAGAAGTCCAAGGTAGCTATTTACATACATCTTACCAAAAAGCTTAGTTTTAGAATTGTCAAGTTAAACAAATCCATGAGCTCTCTGGTTATTATGGGATATAATGAGACCAGTTACTTCACTGTAAAGATTTGATGTCTAAATGCCACAGGGGTGAATATAATCAGAGCACAGTTTGAATATTTATTCATATTCACTAGCAGTGTGATTATTTTTCCAAGTGTCCTGTTCTTTATGTTGCTGTGTTGATAAATGACTGAAAGGGACGCATTTGTTGATCAAACAGACTCTCGCAGTTTGTGGAGAAACTGGCTTAACTGTTTATATTAAGGGTTTGTTTTTTTTTAGTGCGGTGTCCTCAAAGGCTGGAACTTTTTTCCTGAAGTGGATTTCAATAGAATTCAATACCTACCAGGCTAAGTGTCGAGTCATTATTGCCTGGGTATCATGCTACTTGTTTTGTGGAGCTCAAACAGCAGCTCATTTGTGGCAAAGAGTCAATAGATTATAGTGAAGTTTTTGCCCTCTGAGAGCAGAAAGGTCTTTGTGTGAACCTGATTGTTTTGTTGAGTGGCAGTGTCAGATGAAATGCAGATACACAGAAACTGATATTGATGCATAAGCAGGAGCTCTGTTTCACAACCGAAATGGACCAGAGGTAGTTTCAAAAAGTTGAAACAACATTAAAATGGAGTTATTCAGATATGGTTTAAGGGGGCAGGTACGATCACGAGAACCGTTTTTTGAAGTTTTAAGGCAAGGAATGAAACATCCCCCTCAAACTCTAACCCTGAGTTATTCTTTTTTTTTTCACAGACCATGATTGAGGCCCATGTGGATGTGAAGACCACTGACGGCTACCTTCTGCGTCTGTTCTGCGTGGGTTTCACAAAGAAGCGCACCAACCAGATCAGGAAGACCTCCTACGCTCAGCACCAGCAGGTCCGCCAGATCCGCAAGAAGATGATGGAAATCATGACCCGTGAGGTCCAGACCAACGACCTGAAGGAAGTTGTCAACAAGCTGTAAGTCGTGTGGTTTCTATTGCTCCTTTACGACCTTTCTTTAAACTGCAAACTCATTACACACCTCTGAAATCTGTAAGCTTCATTGAAATATAGTTTAATATTCCTCATTTGAAGTGAAAATACATGAAGAGTAATATTAGCCAGTGTTTTCAATTTCAGTGTCAGAGTGTAAAGTGATTAATTACCATTTGTGTTAATTGCTTTGTACTTCCGTGTGTTCCAGGATCCCTGACAGTGTTGGCAAGGACATTGAGAAGGCATGCCAGTCCATCTACCCTCTGCACGACGTGTACGTCCGCAAGGTCAAGATGCTTAAGAAGCCCAAATTTGAGTGTAAGTGATGGCACTGCTGTAATAACACACATTTACCATCTTTTGTACTCGAGGGAACGCATGATGACAAACTGTTTCGGTCCCAGATGATTCCCTGATTACTACTTTTTGAGATCAGCTGACGTTCCCATGTTAAAGTTCTCTGTAATTGTTAACCAAAACGGAGAGGCTTGCAAAGACATGTCAGAGATTTTTGTAGCTGATTGGTAAAGGGTAAAATTACATGACTGCAGTTTTAGACTTCATGGTTACAGCAGTATGTGTTGTGTTGCAGTGGGCAAACTGATGGAGCTCCACGGTGAGGGCGGTGGCGGCGGTGCTGCCAAGGCCTCTGGTGATGACACTGGAGCCAAGGTGGAGAGGGCTGATGGCTATGAGCCCCCTATCCAGGAAACCGTCTAAAACACCCTGACAGATTTAATAAAAAATGTAAATGACCAACACACTGTCCTGTTTTTCTTCAACCTGCAGAGGGTGGTCAATACAAATCAAATTCAGCTGACCACCAAAAACCGATCAACATCAGGCTGTTGCATTTCATTGCTGGAGTTTTGCATCCTCATTGTAAAATAAGGTGGTTCTGCAAGCACTCATTAGACTAAACTAGTTTACAATCTTATGTTTTATGGAGTTGGTTGTAGTACCGCACAAGTGCAAACATTCAGTGAAACCTGTATGTTTGTATGAAACTTGGGTTACATCTGCTGAAATTTGAACCTAATGGTAGTTTGACCCACAAAACTTATACACAGTCAGACAAATTCAGTTGCATTCAGAAACCAATAGATGGTGCAATTGTACAGATATGAAGAAAATCAAGGAGTTTGTACTTCAAATCACATTTAATTTTCCAGCCAACGGTAGTCAATCCACAATTATGTTAAATTATACCATAGAAACTTAATTTGAAGTAAAGGCAGCAGGTAAAATTATGTTGCACTACTTGAAGCTGAAACACTTCCATTTTTCAAGTGTTCATTTCCACAGCTAAAGCTTGTCATTTCAGTTCTGACCATCCCACAGTGTCTTCTTTCTTTTGACACTAAGGTCATATCACAGCACTTGGATATAGTTCTTGGGGACCAAGGCCCTTTTCCCTCCTAGATCACCCAGGAACCATTCTTCATCAACTGACTCAAGATTGGTTACGATGTCCCCAACCTGAGAAAGAGTAAGGCATAAATGAATGATGGTGCTCTAAATTAATTAAGTCAGGGGAAAACTTCTGAGTCCAAACTTAAGTCAGTTTACCTGTAGAGAGAGCTCTTCATCACAGTCTGATGTGAAGTTGAACAGAGCTTGGCCTCTGCTACCATCAGCTGCTACAGTCTGCTGGTTAGTAAATGACTGTTGGCCTGTAGAGAGAGGAAAAATGAGTGAGATGTGGGATGTCTTTCTTTTGATAGATATGCTCCTTTGTATAAATCAATCTCCAAATTTCAAGCCTCACCTTTAAACTTAATATCAAGCATGTTGAATCAATGGTATACACTAACAAGATAATGCATTAATTTCATCAGCTTCCAAAAACTGAACACAGACTGGTACATTTCCTCATTCAAATCTCACCCCAATTTGTTGGTAAACAAATAAACATAAAATATTTTAAGAATCAATGAAATATGTCAATGAAATAGCAGCAACTTTCTCACATCAGCAACAAAGACAGCATCATAACAACCACATACCTGTGCTGCTCTCGACAAAAGCTCGAGGGAAAATGCCCTCTCTGTCGTTGAGCCGGCCACAGCTCCACTCGGCATCCATGTGCTGTGTGATGAGGATACGGTCACCCTTTTGAAAGGACAGGTCACCCTCTGAATTCCCAGCAAAGTCATACAGAGCCACCACCCACTCCACGCTGGACTGAGACGCCTGCAGATGAAGCAGAGCAATAAGAGGGGATGGTAAGATTACTCATGATGGGAAAAAAATGTTAATTACTTTGCAGCATTAGTAAACCTAAAATAAAGATTAGGTTTGTGGCAAAACCTGCGTCATCCTTATTGATGCTTCTGTTTGAATAAATATGGGTTACCTGAGCAGGTTTGGTGACTTCAGGGTGTGTATTCGGGGAAGACACCATGCCTGTGGAGAAATGGAGCACAGGTTACCTTACCTGAAAGACACTCATGCTTTCTTATCAGGACACATAAAAATGAAGCAAACTCCATGACACATACGAAGTAAAGGTATATTGACACAGCAGTTTGTGTGATTTGGGAGGTCTTTGTAAACAGCGACTTAATGAAACAGAAACAGAAGCACAAATTCCTAACATGACAGAGGGAAATGCCAGCCAGTGTAAATAGAAAAGGATAAACAAAGCCTCTTCTAAGCTGGACACCTTTTTCTTTTTGTACAAGGATCAAGAGAGTAACAAGCTGCAGTGGTGTAAATATTCATAGCCTAATAAAAATGTGTAATAAAGTTTCAAGCTTAAAGAAAGGGTTTCGTGAGTTGCATCCTACCAGGCAGAGCTATCCTTGTGGGCTTTGTCTGCTGCTGACTTGGTGGTGGAGGCAGATCTTCAACGATCTCCACAAAGTTCAGGGGGAACATTCCAGTAGAGGCACCAATCTTTCCCCGAGCCCAGTCCTCTCCAATGTACTCCTTCAGCTGGATCACATCGCCCTCAGAGAAGGACAGCTCATCACTGTGTTCACCCTCAAAGTCGAACCTGGCTACGCACCGTGGGCCACTGCAGAGGAGGAGAAAATATTAAAAACATCAGATTAGATTAGAAGTGTGGCTCCTACATGCTCATACAACCGGTGTGGTGTAAAACATTACCTGACTGTTGCTGAAGGTGGCTTTGGGGGAGGCTTTGGTGAATTTGACTGATTGAGAAGTGAACATAAAATGATCTAGGTTAATGCATTTCTACATCAGTATATTGTCCTCAACAAAAGAATAATGTGTGATATTCAAGAAGGTTCAAGATTTATATCAATAAGACTTACCAGGACTTTGACATGACTGATGGGGAAGAAACCGGTGGATCCTCTACAGGTGCCGTTATACCACTCATTGTCTACCTGCTCCACATTGGTCACAACATCACCTGCTCTCAGACCCAGTTCTCCTGGACCCTCTGTGTGTGAAAAAAAAAAATATATATATATAATAATAATGATAAAAATAGAATTTAAGACATAATGGTTTATGGCCTCTGAATTATAAAACTTATTTTTAAAGCTCCTGTGAGTTTTTTTTTAATTCATAAAAAACACTAAAATTCGTACCGATGCCTTTTTAATCATATCCAAAAGCAAACAAGGCCATCAGCAACATTACTGATGATTTTTTAATATGTGAAACCTTTGCAAGGGTTTGGGAGTCAGCTGAATCTCTGTAGAAACAGCCATTTTTATACAATTCCTATATAAAACAGTAACAGTTAATGATATACCAGTACATCAAAAGTAAGCAAAATATGATATTGTGTCAGAGAACACTGTTAATATGTAGGACAAGTTTAAGGGATATTCTGGGGTAAAATTAGCTTAGGGTCAAACACACCGTAACACCGAGTTAGACGTCCCCTTGAGAAATGAATGTTTCCAATCGCTTGCTTCTCTGGTTATACCAACTTAGTAACTACCGCACGATAGCAATACACAGGGGTCTAAGGAACCATAAACAAACCTCAACCAAAAAGCCACTCTATAGCCACAAATAATGCTCAGAACAGCACCTAACTTCATCAACAGTACATATAGGGTCCGAGCCACAGCACTAGCCACCAAACATCTTTTCAACTTTGCCTGATTTCTTTAGCAAAGAGACTAAACACAACTCACCTACTCTCTTTAAGCAGCCACTTGTTTGTAGCGAGACTTGGTGTTACAGTGTGTTTAAGACTGCTTTGCCCAAAGGGGTGCCAAAAATTAACACAAGTCCTAAATCCTCACAACAGCTTGAAAAATACACTGTGTATTTTTCAACTTGCTGTTTTTTTTCAAGTTGAATTGACATTTTGGGGAAATACTTGTTGGCTGGGGTTGAATAAAAAAATGTACCAACTTAATATCTATGTAGTATTGACCCAGCTAGTATACACACAAGAAGAAACATGTCTCTCTTCAAGTTAAAAAAAACTATACACTTTCACGTGTCTTAGAAAACAATATTTTTATTCATTAGCCTGAGTGAGCACAGAGCCTGTTATTTAATTTGCTTTTACTTCTTGCTTCCTGCTTTTGCTATTTGGATGGGATAGTTTGCTTTCTTGCCCCAACACAATGCACAAGGACAAAGTTCGCCTGACTCAGAGAGTTTCAGAGTTGGATAAATCCTCTAATCATACTCATGACTAGAAAGCAAATAAGTGTATTTGATGTTGGACTATTCTTCTGATGCTAAGCCTCAGCCACTATTAGCTCGTATGTGCTGTTATGTTACCTGGATTGAAGTCATACACAGCCTGCACCTTCAGACCAGATCCACTCGCATTAGTTGGACCTGCACTCTGCAGGAAGAGAACAAAGACACTCAAAGGTCAATGTATCAAAGCCCACTGACTACAATAGGAGCAAGTCAAGTCTCAAATATCAGAGCTATGTATTCATTCATGTTGAAAAGACAAGTTACCTGTGGTGGGGACAAGTGCGAGGCGGTGGAAAGTGGAGTTATAACCTTCATATAAGACTTGCTGACTCGGCCTGTAGCGTCTCCCACCTGACACTCAAACATATTGTGGTCAGTTTCCTCCAGCAGCAGAAGCACTTCATTTTTCTATTAAAATAGAGCAAGAAAAGTATAAACTGCTGTTGAACAAACTTGATAGGTTAAGATCAATTCTGTCCTATTTGCTTTATGGATACCTGGAAAGACAGTTCTCCTGTGTTACTGCCATCATAGTCAAAGGCAGCAATCCCATGAGGAAGTTGTAGCTGGTAAAAGAAAAGGCAAAAATGAAAAAGGATGCTCTTAATAATGTCGATATTTCCAATATGGTTGAAGCCAGAAGTTGTACAGTGGGAATGTCTCACTGTGTAGTTGTTGTAGAGACGGTGGCCTGGGTTGGGCCTTGGAGGTAAGACGGGTCCTCTCCTGTGGGGTTTCTGTGCTTGGGGTCTGGGTGAACCTTCCCATGATGCTGAGTGGGACTGAGCTGCAGCTTGAAGGCTGGGTGGGGGAGGTCTCCCTGGGCCTGTTTTGGCTGGAGGTGGACGTGGCGGGAGTGGTTTGTTTGTACTTGGTCTCCTGAAGTGCAACACCAACACAAAGATGAGAGGAGTAGCATTTGTAGAAGTAGATTTCTGTCTCATCTTCAACTGCTTAATTATTTTCTTTTATACTCACCGAGGTGGAAGAGACGGCTCTGGCCCTGACTGGAACGACTCCTGCAGAGGAATTCAAACGTGCAATCTCGTTAACACTAAAACAAATGCCCAGCCTAAAGCACTGGAAACCATGGAGACCAGGCTACAAAACATAGCATTCAGCCTCAGGTAGCTTCAGCTCAACAGCAAGCAATGAAGACCTCAGGCTAGAATAGTTTCTTTGTTTGTGGAAAGCACAGGAAAAAAGCAGGTAGGCCGACAGCTAACAGAGAATGTCAACAGCATGATTTACTCTGAGGCCAAAACACATCAAATCATATTTCATACCAGATAAATATTTGTAGCAGATATACTAGGATGGCAAGAATGAAGGCAAAAAACACTTCTCAGATGATGTAAAATCTCACCTGTAAGGGGAGGACTGGTACCCGGCTTTGGCTGTGGTTCACTGAGGTGTGCAGGTAGCCTACAGGCTTTTGAGCAGGGAGCGGAGGAGGACTGTCCTGAATATTATCTGAAACTGAAGAGAGATAACGCCTTACAACTTACTGAAAATGCTTTTCCCATAATAAAAAGGTTCCTCTTTATAATATCAACAACATTAAATGATCAGATACAGTGTTCTGGTACAAATACAAAATATTAATGGTCACATGAAGGGCAGACTCACGTGAATCCGTTTTGCTGGGGACCCTGATGGTGGTTGGTCTTCGTGTTAAGCTTTGTCGGGGGAAAGAGCCTCCATTGCTTTCCACGTTGCGCTGAGGCTTGGCTGGGCTGTGATCTAAACAGAGAGAAACTTTATTGTACTTTTCAGGTTTTCATGTGATGTAGCGCCTTTAAAAAATGCTTTTTGGTATATTGGAGATTGACATATATACTATTTTTTGTTTGTTTGTTTTTGTTAAAACTGCTTATTTGCCTTTTTTTATAATTGACAAGATAATTGACAATGTTGGGGTCTTGTACTTCTTTCCATGTCTTCTAAGTATGAAGCTACAGCCCCTGAGGTAGATAGCCTAGCTTAACCTTAAGACTGGAGGCAGAAGGACACAGAAAACGTGGGCCTCTTCAGAGTTTGGAAACACATGCCAAATCATCAAATCTTTACCTGAATGGTCTATTTTTATAGTATGAAGCTTTTAAGAGTCCTTGACTCAAGGTAAGCTATTTAAGAACGTGATTGTTACCTTTTTCATATTGCAATTAGTGCTGCAACGAACGATTATTTTTTTGTCGACTTATCTATCGACTAGTCGTCCGATTAATCACGATTAATCACTATCTTCTTTATTTATAAACACCTATTTCCGGGGTGTCGGCGTTTCAGGTGCTCATGCATCGCCGTGGTGCTGCCATGGTGGGAAAGCTGAGCTTTGATCAACGTGTTTTTTTGGTTTGTTCTCCGTAAAATGTTCCCAAACTTTTGAAGTTTTGGGTCGGAGTTTTTGAGCGTCTTTTTCAGTTTGTTCTGCCATAATGTGTGCACTCTTCTTCTGTGTTTGCTCGCGGGATGTAAACAGCGAACGCTACTGCCCCCAGCACATCCTGTAGTGCACTGCAGTTATGGATGAGCATGAGGCGCCGGCATGTGATTCTTAACAACAATAACACGACGCGTAGACGCTTCGTTTTCGTGTCGATGAATTTGTCGTGTCGACGTAATCGATTACGCCGACTAATCGTTGCAGCCCTAATTGCAATCCTTTAAAAGAATTATACTTTTAAACATATATTACACATTCATGTAATGTAATACATGAAAATTGACAAAACAAAATGCTTACTTGTTGGACTTTCCACGTACTCATTCTCTCTGGTCATAGAGGCTGAGTTGTGGTTGTTTATATTAAGGTTGGGTTTCAGAGGCTCTTTAACAGGCTTCATTGGAGGTGTAGGAGGTAAAACTGGTATTGGTTCATCTTCATAGATGCACTCAGACCTGGTCAGCACAGATGGACGTGATCTCTTTGGGATGGCTGCCTTGTTGTGTAAAGTCTCTAGTTCATCTCTAATGGATTGTCCCACAAGTTTCTTTGGGGGCTGAGGTCTTGGGGCTGGCGTTGGGGCCTTGGAGATGTTTGTAGTTGAGACATTTTGATTATTATCCTCAGTGCTCGGGTTAAACTGGGGTTTTACAGCGACAGAAGGTTTGGCAGCTACGGGAGGTTTGATGGACGCTGTCCTGGGTTTAGGTTCTGGTTTGGCTGGTTCGAGATTTCCTTCCTCAGCAGCAACCTGGCTTTCAAAGGCCTGGATCCTGGCACGGATGTTGCGTTGACTGTGGTTGTCGTTCATTTCGCCTCCAGCATCTTCACCTTGTAAGGCCTCGTCTGATTCGTTAGCAATGTCACCGACCTCCTCACTCTCGTTATCTGCACTGAAAACCTCCAATAACTCCTTCAAATACTTATTTGAGAGGAGGTCTTCTTGTTCAGATGGATTTTCCTCACCACTTTCACTGAGTCTGACCAAAGGCTGAACTTTGGCCTTCTCTGTGTTGTGGGTGTTGAGTTTTTTAGTACGAGGTAGAGGAACAGGGCATTGAACTTGTTCTGAGTCTGATGGGGAGGGAGTAGTTTCAGCAGCAGGGGTAGAGAGATGTTTTTTGGGGGGTAAATCCCAGTGTACAATGACAGATCTGATGTGTGTTTGTGTGGAATTTGTTCGGTTTGGTTGCTTTGAATCTGCCTTGGAGTCACTTTCGCCCTCAGCGCTTGTAGAGACTATAGTATTTGTTCCAACCTTTGCATCAGACTCAGTGTCTGGCTCCTTGTCTAAAGGTTTTGGCAGTGATGGCCTTGGTGGTTTCTTTGGCTTTTTACCTGCAAAGAAACATGGTTATTATGAAAGCAGTAGAATTTTAGATGAAAACTAAAACTAAAAGCTGAACTTTGTATTCATGACACTCTCCTGTGGCTCACCAACAGGTCTTTTCCTTTCTGTCTGTGGAGCAGCACTGGAGTTTGCAGTGTCCTCCCTCACAGGGTCAGTTTGTGTGGCACTTGTGGTGGTGCAGGGAGTCCTCCGAGGAGCGGCAGTGGGCCTGACGATAACGTGCTCTTCCTTGGTCTTTTCTTCAATCACCTGGTCATAGGATGGTGGTGGCTAAGTTATGAAAGAGAGAGCAGTTTACATCCCCTTAGCCTTAATAATGGCCTTGATACTGAAAGTATTGGCCATGGCAATAATATCCTTGCAATTATGTGCAAAGCTTCTACTTGGTTATTCGTTTGGTTTAATGTAGATGCTATAAAACCACAGAGACCCATCCAAAGTACCATCCAGAGATGAAATCGACAATCAAGTTTAATTCAACAGAAGTGTCAAATGGAGTCTACCTGAGAAACAGGCTGGACTCCCGCAGACCAGCCTGACTGAGGAGGAGGAGGAAAAACCACAGAGGCTCCTGAGAACCAGCTGCTACTGTTCAGAGGTTCTGCTGAGACAATGGTGATCTCTGGTCTCCTGAATTAAAAAAAAAAAAACAAAAAAAACGTCTATGGCACTGAACCAAAATGCTCCAGTATCAATCAATTTCTTTCTTTGCTTTGGTGGCAAAAGATGATACTGTTATGAAGATTATTTATTAGGTAACAAAGTCACAAATTTGATCAGAAATACTGTAATTTTTTTCACTCATCAATGAGAAGCTAGAACAGTCAAGAAAAACAACAACACAATGACATATAATAATATGAATAATATTTTCATTACCTTCTCTCTCTAGTGTGGTCACTCTGAGAGATTGATTTAGCTAGAGAAAGAGAAATCAATGTTATTTCAAGTTTTTACATCATGTATTAATATGTCAACAATGTGGTAACATGTTGTTGAAATATGAGCCCACCTCTTATAATACATCATAAGCACATCTTTTAAGCCTTATAAATGCCTTTGTGAGGCTTTATAACAACCCTTATGAGCGATGATAAGCATTCACAACAGCTTACAGCAATGTAAAAAAGCAATTATGAAAATCTGTTCTTGTAGTGAAGGGTAAGTTGGGAGAGGTAGAATGTGTTATTAAACCCACAATTTAAGAGATGTTGGTTTTTCTTGTGCATGAAGGTGTAATGCATAATAAACCATACAATAATAAGACATTATGCTCAATGCTTATAACACTTTTAAACCTTGCTATAAGCACTTATGAATACTTATAACTACAAATGTGTTTATGATGTATTACAAGAGGTGGGTTCATATAAAGTGTTTATCCTGCAGAAAGTTATCACATCTGTCCTATTGATTACTGAGCTACAATAAAACATCACTGTGTTGTGGTCATATATTCTCAAAATGCTTATCAAGTTCACTTCAGGCATACTTACTCCTTTTGATAGCAGCTCGTATAGAAGACAAAGGTCCTTGGCTGAAGAGAAGGCATAAGAGCACGGGTATTAATCATGAAGGTGTGGGGCTCATACAGAACAAACGCTGGTTCATACCGTTTTGGTGACTCAAATGATAAAAAGAAGCCCTGGGGATTTTCATACTACACACTGCATGCACTAGTTTCAGTTTAAAGTAATGAAAAGATGAAAGGGTTCAGGAGAAATGACCAACTTTCAACGGGAGCCGGTGTGCAGCTTGTGAGAAAAAGCTCTGAAAAACGTACTATTTTACTTTCTTACACGTGTAAGATGTAACAATATGTTGTCTTAAGGTCTTAGCTAAGGGAATGAAGAAGGGAAGTGAGGATCAAGTAAAAACTTTCTCACAGTAACATTCAACCAAGTATTGGTTTATCACAGCATCAAATGTTCAATTTTAATAAAAGAAAGCAAATTGTAACAACTTTGAAAGATCCATCACATCTGTTGTTTGTGTGCAAAGCTACAACCCTCCTACCTTAAATCAGCATGCTGCTCGGTTAGTGTCACTGATTCCAGGTAAACACCAGACAAAGACTGCTGTTCCACTCAATATCTTACTGCCACACGGGAGCTGATGTTTGTTATCCTCAGACTGTTCATCACCCAATATTGGAGATTAGCTCTTAATCCTTTCACCTGACGCCACGAGTAGCATAATATTAGAATCCCCTGTTTCTTTACGTTTCCCATTGAAGGTGCACAGTGCACAACAGTGTCTTCATCAAGCTAACTCTAATGACACTGGAGGCGGTGCATCATTGACACATACATATCTTGCTCATTAAGGACTGCCTGCAGAAGGATGATGTAAACTATCTGGGGAAAAAGGCCAACAATAAACAGAACCATGTGGTTTCTTTAATTATTAGCGAAGATGTAAACACACACAGGCGAAAGCATTGTGTGTTGTCTGAAATACCAAAATATTTTCCTAATCTCTATGACGTTCACAGCTGTCAGTGAGGAGGCTTTCCTTTCTGTAGTGTCTGTAAACAACATCTAAAAAATGCAGCATGACGTATTCATCCCCCTGTTGACCTCCTGTCTGTTAGCTGGAGTGAATGGATCAGTGCATTGTGTGGTCCATTCACAACCTCACTCTCAGCACATCAGAGTGTCAAAGGGGTTGAGCCCCACTCCCTGCAACTCACACACAGTTTAGGGGGACTTAACAACCGTTTGTGGATCCAAGTGAAAAGCATAAATAAAAAGAAGTCATGTACAGTGACATACCTTGAATGTAAATGATCTGGCTTGGTTCTTTCAGGACGATCTGCGAAGAAAAAAACAGAGTGTTATCAGTGATGTGTTGCAGTAAGGGTTAAATCTGACACTTAGCAACAGTGATTGTAAGGAATACGGCACTTAGACAGTTTTTTGGGGGGAGTGGGTTGTATGGAAAATCAAATTGGAAATACATTTTATATAAAACCTTACGTGGAAGCGGCCTATTTCTGTCAAATCCAGTAACTCAAAATACCTGATGTTACCACAAAAATCACACTCAAATCCAAATAACGATAAAGCAGGCCAACGATAGCCGAATACACACGGCTGTGTTAGCAGGAGACTGACAGAGTTCTCATTGTCTTGACGTCACTCTACATTTCAAATGGTACAGTGCCAATGATTTAAGGTCTTTCTCTTACAGATATGAGTTTGACAGTTTCAACACCCATGCCAAGTGAGTATTTCAGGACATGTAACATTTTCTTTACAAGACATTGTCTTGTTATGATGAATCACATCAAGTCATCTCCAGACTGCAGACGAGGGAACCAATCAAGTGACTTTACGAGTTTCACTTACAAGTTAAAGCTTCATTAGTCAAATGACTGAAAAAATAATCTGAAAACAGCTAGTAGGGAAGATTTTGCAGTTTTACTGAAAGCACAAGTTTCAAATCTGTAATGTTCCCTTTGCATTCCACTTTAGAAATGAATAGTTTTTTTTCAAAGCATGTCCAGTGTAATATCACAGTGCAATGTCTCTCAATACATCTTTGTGTCCTCAATTTTGGGTCCCCTGAAAGTGCATGTTTAAATATAAACTATGTTTTTATTATAACAACATAAAATTAATGCTGTGGGTCATAACTTTAAGTTTGCCCTTTACATTTGTGTATATGAGTGGCCTTGATGTGAAGTCTTTAAGAACCAGAAGTGTGAAGGAAGCAAAACACAAACAAGTGGATCAGCGTTATCACACCATGAAAATATTTTGATAGTTTTACAGGAGAAATTATGTGTCATTTATGCTTTCAAAATCTACACATTTTCCATCCATGTCACAGCCATATACTACTTCCATTCTCCCTCTAGAGTTAATATTCTTGATATACAAGAACCAAAGCCAAGCTGGTGGCAACGGACATTAAATCTGGATGAACCTGTTACTCTTAAGTAACTCTGTTTATGTTTCCCAACCATGCTGCACATTAGCTTCCTGGTACCAAAAAAACCTTCAAATATCAAAGTTTAACTATTTAGGAACGCCAACTTGATGTTTTCTGTTGCGCCTAATTTATAAAGAATACATTAGCGGACAGATAATGATGTCTGCACTACGACTGGACAAGAACAAAACGAAAGATGAGTGGACCAAAGTCAAAAAAGGTGCTAAACATGCACACAAATTCATCAACAGAAACTGTGTTGATCTAAGATGACTTTTTAAAAAATAATTCATGAAGATATGGAATAGAGCTGGTACGAGACATAAAAAAATAATGTTGCTTCTGTTAAATAAAAAATGAACATGAAATAAAAAATATGCACAAAAAAACCTTCAATATTAAGAAAATAGTCAAAAACTTTAACATGACACAAGAGACATTGACTTGTTCTCACGATTTGCTGCCCCAGACACATACAATAAATTTTGTTTTAGTCTTTCTTGTTCCGTTTCGCAGCCTTCTGAATTTCATGACTTGCTTTAAAAAAGTGGTAAAAAAAAAAAACATGTCACATCAAAACTCAGTGGCTTATAGCTAGAATAGATATGTGTCAGTAATAAAAGAATACTAAAAGCAAGAACCCCCGCAGTGAGAGAAGTCAGCATTGTTGTCATTGCCTGCAGCCAGAAACCATGACCTCATTTTCAGTCAGATCCACCTGTCACACCTGTTACTTGTTATCTCTTAGCTCCACAATGCTACTGCCTTCAGTTACACTTTAACCACTGAAAGCTGCTGCACTTTCACTTGATAAAAAATATCTCTTCTAGCCAATTTACAAAGTGATAATCTAAGTTAAAACAGCACATTTTTCTCTTAAACTGGTTTTTCACCTATGTTTGTGATGTGCTGCTGCCCTCTTAAGGACATGCCCCTTAAAATGAAGTTGAGTGATGCTCCTACCTGTGAGGAATTAAAGGATCAAACATAAAACCTTCAGCATCAAACGTCCACGCTACTCATCCATCGGTAGTGTCTGAGACTTTGAAGCCAGCAGTTACACACCCACATACAATGGAAAAGAGAGGGAGGGCTCTGTTGTACCTGGGCTCTCTTGTGTTTACCTGGCCAATCTGAGGAACAGGAATGTGGTCATTCAGGAAGTGGAGGTTGTTCCACACAACACTGCGCTGTCACTATCTTTTTTTTCCTTCAAAGTAAAAGGTCAAGGAGATATTCTGTCCGCTCTGTGCCATTCCTAACTTGCATCCATCTAGAAGTAGGTCTACTTTAAGAAGGAACCGCAACATGTTTACCTGCTTCAACGTTATAAAGGCAAAGGTGGTTTGTGAGATAAAATAAAACTTTACAGCTTTGTAACTCTGATTTGTAAAGCAGACAGAAACAAAAGTTTATTACAGAAAGAAAAAGAGCTCAAGAAATTAGACTACTACAACTAGAAAACTTTAAGAAATTATTATCTAAAGCTCAAGTGAGTAACTTTCTGTCTGTGTTGACTCTGGTGCCCCCTGTGGAAGAATTAATTAATTAATCCCCCAGTGGAAAATACGAATGTTTGAGAGCACTAACTGGTCTGACAGCAATTTTTTAAACACCTCTGCAGTTTAATCTGAACCACAAAAATCAACCAGCTGAGGGCGCTAGCTTCAAGTCAGTAGTTCCTCAAACGGATCCCAAATCATCAAAAACTAATTGCTGGTCCAAATATTAAAGTGATTTTCTCAATAATTTGAGGTGTTATAGTCAGGTTAGAATATGTGAATGGATTAAGAAGACCAACTGACCAAACAAAACAACCCTGACCTCAATCTGTTGAAAGAGCAATTGTTATTCTCTCAGCTAAACTCACTTATGAAATCATGGAAAGTTTAAAGAATTAAAAATCCATGCCAGATTAGGAGTCTAATAAATCCCTGCTTGAGTTCAGGACAATGTTCCACCATATTCATCCTGTCGTGTTATTGGGTCATTATCACCTGAAAAGTCACCACAAACACAGTAGAGAGAAAGCTGCTGAAGTCAGCAGGAACAGTTTCCCCTCCCAGCTGCGCTCTCACTTGAACACATGCCGACATTACTCAGCAGAGCAGCAGCCGTCCCGGAGCAGCTGCTGAAACAGGCTGCAGCAAAGAGGAGAAGAAAGAAAAACAATCTGCCACCAAGTGTAACGCCACACCATCCACAACTTTGTTGAAGTGTTAGCTTCAGTCTTTGTACAACTCAAGCTTAAGTGCTGTTTTCAAACAGGCAGAGGCAAGTGTGCTGATTCAGCACAAGTATAGTGTGTCAGGGGGTGGATGGACATCACATTTTTGCTGTTGTTAAAAGATGACTGTACAGGAGAGATTTGCCCTAACTTGAAAAACACAATATTACAGTGTTGTGAGTGACTAACACCATGTCTGCAGGAGATTATATGGTGTGGTGTTGGAGCAGATGGGTGATTCACAGTGGAAACAACCTGAATAAAGTGGATGATGTTGATCCATAGTGCTGAGGGTGAAAGCAAAACACTGCTCATTAAACACATTAAGCTTACAAATTTCTCTAAAAGGATGCAAATCAGCGTTGAGTGCAGACATGACACATTAACCAGTGTGACCTGAGGGCCTGACACTTATACTCTTCCAGACAGGTGGTGGGGTCAGGGTGTGGATGGGGGTTGGTAAGGGATGGGGCTGTCTGAGCTGGCATATTGGTTGCACATAGCTAGGCTGGGCAGGGCACAGGGGAGTTCAAGAAGGAGGTGACTGCACGCCAGGTGTTGCTAAGAAGAATGAGAGACAGATTAAAAAAAAAAGGGATACCTTATGCGAACCATTACAGAGAGAATTTCACCCGAGGATTGGCAGAGTTACAGGATTTGTACCTGATGCAGTGATGTTGTCCAAATTGACAATACTTTAAGGGATATTCCGGCGTAAAATTAAGTTAGGGTCAAACACACCGTAACACAGAGTTAGACACCCCCTCGAGAGTTGAATGTTGCCATCTACTTGCTTCTCTAGTTCTACCAACTTAAGTAACGACCGCAGATTGCAATACAGAGAGCCATGCGCTCTACCAAAAAGCCACTCTATAGCCACAAATAATGCTCAGAACAGCACCTAACTTCATCAACAGTACATATAGGGTCCGAGCCATAGTACTAGCCATCAAACATCTTTTTCACTTAGCAAAGAGACAAAACACAACTCACCCACTCTCTTCCAGCAGCCACTTGTTTGTACAGAAACTTCGGACGAGTCCATCACCGACTGCAGCGGGGTGACACAGCTCAAGGAGGAACATTTATGATCATTACTTTATCATTTCCTTGAAGTAATAATCATCATATTAAATATTTTGCACTGCAGACGCGGAAGTTCTTCTGCCTTAGCATCTAGGTCTGATTGCATTTCCATGAGAAAATGATCATAAATGTTTTTCCTTGAGCTGCGTCACTCCGCTGCAGTTGATGGACTCACCCGGAGGTCTTTGTACAAACAAGTGGCTGCTGGAAGAGAGTAGGTGAGTTGTGGTTAGTCTCTTTGCTAAATAAATCAGGCAAAGCTAAAAAGATGTTTGGTGGTTAGTGCTGTGACTGGGACCCTATATGTACTGTTGATGAAGTTAGGTGCTGTTCTGAGCATTATTTAGCTATAGAGTGGCATTTTGGTTGAGCGCGTGGCTCTCTATATTGCTATCTGCGGTTGTTACTAAAGCTGGTAGAGAAGCAAGCGCTCGGCAACATTCATCTCTTGGCAGTGAAGCAGTGAAACACAAAATTATATATTATGTATCAGTATGTCAAGTGTCTCTGTTTAACTACTTTTTTTCTGAACCAGCACTAATGCCTACATGTGAGTGCCCCTGCCTTTAATTGAATTTCCATGGTTTTGAAACAGGTATCAATCCTTTTTGATTTTTACTGGTAATGTACAGAAGTTAAAACTTTGGTTCAGCGTTTGGATTTGACCTTTGACCTCAAACTGTCCAACAGCCAAAACTAAATGAATTTCTCTACCAACCTAAAGTGACGCATGTCTCTTAATGGTGTGAGTGAAAAGGTTTCCATAACCATTAGGTGGTTGGCTACAAAGGTTAGCTAGGTCAGTGTGAGAAGGTAACAGGAATGTTATTAAGTTTGTGACCATTGTTTCAGAAAGCCCCACCGTTATTTACTGAAAAAAAAAAAAAGAAATTACTAGAGACATTCACTGTGAATCAACGATACTGTTAAAAAGACAGAGCTTGACACTAATGACAGCAAACTGTTCGTAGCCCTTTAATGCCTGACACCACAAATTATGGCCAGAAAATTCAATTTTTTTGGAGCTGATATGTTTGTTTCACTTACTACTGGAAACAAAAAAAAAATCTAAATGTCCTTAAAATTTAACAAATATATTTATTTATGGCATTTGATGTATTCGATATTTTTGGAAGTTAATAAACTACAAGAGGACTTTTTTAAAATCATTTATCAGACTGTATTCAGGTGTTTTTTTTTATGATTTGGTGATCACATTGGTTTGATAGACGTATATAAAAGTATGTATCAAATATGATACAAAAATGCATTAAAGGGTTAAAGTCAGAAAAAACTTATAGATTTGAGTGTTTTCTTCTTACTTCAAACCAGGAGACAAAGACAAAATAGTCCAGATCCCTGCTTCAAGCTGTTAAGATTTCTGTTTCATAGCAACCAAAGGTGAACCAGGGGTAGCCTACTGAAAACGTCTCTCCATCTAAATAACATTGCTAAGGCTATCAGTATGTCTACTAATGTATAGTAGACTGATACTGATTTTCAACACCTTGTGACAGCATTTAACGATTTTTAGCTTCATCTCAGTCAAGCAACACGAATTTGCTCATTTTTTAAATGCTAAATCCCATCGAGAAAGAATATGAATTAAAATAACAATGGCTATTGAATAATGGCTGCCTGGAGAGGTCGAAATTGAGCTTAATTCGTGGACGTCGAAAATCAGTGAATAAAAACCCCACACCCGTGCTCTTCTGAAATATTCACTACACTCGTTTCAGTGTCAGACTAAACCTTTTAATTTAGTCCCCCTAAGGATTTACAATCAAAATAAGACTTTATGCTTCATTCGACAACACATTTAGTAGTAAGCTGAGTATGTAAACTCTCCTGTCATCATAGGACAGCTTCACTGGTTCTTTCCCCAACTTTCTACCTGTTGTCTGGCTCCTGCTCCGGACGTCCCGTTGGTCTCGTCGTTCCCCCTCTCCCTCCTCTACACGCCGGGCTTCAGCCATTGGGATTTAAAAACAACGTAGAAATAAATATGACTGTGTGAAAAACAAAGTTTCTGGAAACTGGGCTAGTTCATCTGTGGGGCGATAAAACAGGGCTGCTCTCCGGTGCGCTGGAGGTTTCAGATCGTCCTGCCCTCCGCGGCAGCTCCCCCTCTCTCTGCCCGATTGTGGATGATGGGGAGGGTGGTGCCACTCACAGTCAGTCAGTACCCCAGCACAGGTAGACTTTTCCACGGGACTATGGTACATTAGGCCGATAATCAGAGCAGGTTCAACTCTTGAACCAATGAACAAAACTTTTCAGAAGAAAGATATAGGGAAGACCGGGGTTTGTTGTCACATGGGTAAGTTGTCACAATGCAATTATCTTTGCCACAAGAGGGCACAACTAAAAAGTGGAATACTAGTTTTCTTTCTTTATATGGTCAGGGGTCATGTCCTGTCTGAGAAGAGAAGAGCACATTGTGAGCTGAGATGAGTGTCAATTAACCTTTTCACACAACCTAAAGTAAGAAAAATTAACCCTTTATATTTTAAAATAAGCTTCTTCCAGGTAAAAATTCCAGCAGTGATACATGCAGACTTGTTAGAGGAGAGATTCCAGGTCCTTACACACCAGGACCGTTTTTTTCGTGCGATTATTTCGGATGTCAATATTTTTTTCAAATCTGTATCCTGTCAATACAAGTGTTTTCCCGTCCTGCAATATTGCGGATGGGAAATACTGCAATCAGTCAGGCAGGTGATCCTAGCTAATAAATCAATCTAGTGTACAATAAAGGACTTTAATGTCAACTACCATACCTTGGCTCGGTACAGCAAAACATTCACCCCAGCCGAAATACAGAGTCAGACAGCTCTCCAAACTCCAGAGCATTTTGCATAATATTTAATGTTAACGTTTGTGCTACAACTTTTTCTTTCTCAGTGCTAAACGTTTTCTGTGCCTGACTTTGATGTTCACTTTCAAGTAAAAAAATTGAGAACAATAATAATTTTGTCTTTGTTGTATAAGCTGCAAAATCCACTGTGACATCTTAACCCATATAGTGAGACAACTTACCTGATGGCGGGGCACCGTGTCACGTGTTCACACTTTCTATTTGATTGTTTACAACTCTGAACTGACACAAGATATGAAAATGACATGAATACAAAATATATACCTGAGACTTTGGCCTTAAATCTGGTCCACATTTAGATTATATAAGATGTATTGATTGCAAGAAATATACAAGAGTGCAAAAAGTGTGACAACAAGCCCCGGTCTCCCCTACATTTCAACCTAAAGGAAAGACTATAATTAATATTTACAAAACTAAAGGGTAGTCATATGAAAAGAATTTACCAAGCATCACAATTAAACTATTTTGTAAAACACAACAGATAAAGGGCAGAACATTTTATAACTTTTTTCTTTATTAGCTAATAAATCAAAAATATCCATTCTCTCCACCTCACTATACATCAACACCAAGCATTTTCTCAAAGTTACAAAACTGATTTGTAGAACACAGCCGATTCAGAGCAGATATTGGCTGTAACACACATAACATTTTCTTTCTTTTTTTTAATCATGATTATTTATTAGCAACTTAATAACTAAAATCTCCTACTTTCTCTCCACCTTACCATTTTTTCTCTCCTTTCTCTGTACTTTGCATGTCCACTATTCTACTCTGTGCTTGTGACTTGAGAAACGCTCTCACAGACTAAAAAAACAGCAGACTATTTCCCAGTTGGCTACACAAATATGTATGGATGTTGTATTAACTTTTGTTTCAGTTGTTGCTAGTTATTAGTTACCGCACGGGTCGCTACGACGAGTTTGGTCGAGTTTCGCCGCTTCCTCAAAGACTCCCGCTCTGTCTTGAAACCTGACACCACAGTTTCAGGCTGTGTCAGTGCATCTTGGCTCATTTGCATACTGAACAGTGATTGGATGTTTACGGATTGGGAGGGAGGGGCGGGAGAGGCGATCTCTGACTGCAGGGTACACACACTGTACGGAGCCGAATGGGTGAGAGATGAGTGGAGGAAAATCATTAACTTTTTCCACTTCTAAAAATGTGATTGGAGGGGCAGACCATTTGTTTGCCCCAGCGTCGAGCCGGCCCCGGCAGCATTACAGCTGAATAGTTCTATATTTTATTTTTGGAGTTAAAATCCTACAGTCCTCCACGCCCTCTCTTATCACTCATCAGGACTATCTGTGACGTCAGGGTGTGACATCATCAAACGTGACGTCAGGGTGTGACATCATCAAACGTGACGTCATTGTTCCCACATTCTCTCTGAAGTGTGCATGATGACGTCATGCCCTCTGATCTCCTTGAGAGGGACTGGAAACTCTTCCACTAGTTTATACCTTGGATAAGCACGCTGATATTTTTACAACTGCAACTCTGAATCTTTTTCTACTGAGCTGAAAACTCTTCGAAATGCAGGACCACAGAGACTGTGAGTTCAACCTCAGATGCCTCAATGCAAAGTACCAGGACTTGAGGGCAGCGCGGCTGGAGGACATACTCAGATACACCGAAACTATCGACTCCTTGCAGAAACAACTAAAGGAAAAAGAGGAAACCTGGACAAAGGATCTCCATAAAAAACAAAAGCAAAATGAGATTGCAAAAAACAACACCAAACAGCTTGAACTTGAGAAGCTTGAGTTAGGGAGGCAGGTCCTTACATGGAAAAATGAAAAGACACGGATACAAAAACTATATGACCAGCAGGAAGCCCTTTCAAAGAGAATTCTTAAGCAGAAGCTGGAGAAGCAAAAACTAGAGATGGAGGATGAATTCAAAGAGGAGAGAAAAAAGCATGAGGCCATAGTGAAGAAGAATGTCCAGGACCTTATGGATAACGAGAAGATGATAAAGTCTTTACAAGAAAAGCTTCAGACCTCTGAAAAGAAAGTGGAAAAGCTGGAACGCCTTCTCGAAAACCAGGTGACAGAGGATATGAAGAGGATCGTGGCCCACAATAAAGAGGTTGGAGAATTAAAGGAAAAATATGCCATACTCGATAAAAAATATACAGATGCTGAAGAAGAACTGATTAAATTAAATGAAGTGGCGCTGGAGGCTAAACTCCTGAAGGAACAGAGAGATTTTTTCAAATGTAAAGCATCTCAGGAAAGCAAAAAACTGGATGAGGCCAAAAACACCATTGAAAAACAAGGCGAGGAGATTAAAAATCACAAAGAGGCCACAGGAATATTAAAGACAGCTAACTACAACTTATATCAGAAACAGTTCCATGGAGGCATGGAGACTATGTTATTAAGGGATGCTGACAGAAAACTTAAAGGAGAGAACAAGGAACTATTGGAGATGACACGAGAGAAGGGGTTCCAGATAAAACGCCTTGAACGGGAAAAAAGGGAGCTGACACAGAAAAACACGGCACTGGACCTTGCTAATAAAGCCAAAGAGTCAGAGGTAGACAAGCTAAAGAATACAGTCCAATCACTTCAGACCTTTGTGGAGCGTTTTAAATATGACATCAACGCATGCAAACCTGACTTGCAAAATCCTAAAAATCTGAAGGACAGAGTCATAAATATGCACAAAAAATACATCGGTGCAGAGAACAAACCACAGGTCGACATTCAGATAAATGCTGAGAACAACCCTGCAAGAGGGTTCCGCCCCTTTTGGGGAAAAAATAACAAAGTATCACCTGTGTGAGAAAACCCCCCTCCGAGAAACTCCAGCGACCCCTTTTTACCAAGTACAGCTGGTATTTCGTCCCTCTGCAGGGTTTACTCCGAGAGCTTCGGTTTCTCCCAACATTGTTTTTACACAATGAAAAAAAAACTCTAAATGAAGACTTGCCGTATTTCCTCCCTCTGCAGGGTTTACTCCGAGAGCTTCGGTTTCTCCCAACATTGTTTTTACACAATAAAAAAAAAAACTCTAAATGAAGACTTGACATTTTTCCACCCTCTGTAGGGATTACTTCAAGATCTTTGATTTCTCTCAACATTGTTTTTACACAGTAAAAGAACTCTAAATATAGACTTTTAAAACAATTGCTGTGTCCAAAGTCACTCTTAATTTAGGGCCCTTTCTCACCCAAAGTCCACTTACAAGGTCCAGATCAGGACCAAACGTCAAAAAAAAGCATTAGCACCAGACATCCACACACAGTCTGATTGTGGAAGTGTACCCATAACGTCAGGGACAGTGTAAAATGGTCGACACTGTATACCAGGTGGTGCTTGAGTGGAATTGAGAGCTTTGATTCCAAGTTCGTTTTGTGTTTGCGCAGACTTGAGCCAATCCTATTTTAATAGTGCGATTATGGAGCATCAGGGACTGGAAAACTTCACAGTCCTGCTTTGAGTGGAACCCTTGGATTTAATTGATAATATATTTACTCTATATACAATATATTTACTCCTCCATGAACCGTCACCTTACCGTGGTGGAGGAGTTTGCGTGCTCTAATGAACCTAGGGGCTATGCTGTCCGGGGCTTTTTGCCCCTGGTAGGGTCTCCCAAGGCAGATTGGTCCTAGGCGAAGGGTCAGACTAAGAACGGTTCAGAATACCCTCATGGAAAACAACAAAGGGAAACAGGGTACCCGGCCCGGAGGGACACCGGGGCCCCACCTTGGAGCCAGGCCCAGGCTTGGGGCTCGCTGGCGAGCTTCTGGTGGCGGGGCCTGCACCCATGGGGCCCAGCCGGGCTCAGCCCGAACGAGCCACATGGGCACCGCCTCCTGTGGACCCACCACCTGCAGGAGGAACTTGAAGGGTCCGGCGCTTGACGGATTGGGCGGCGGACCAAGGCGGGGGCCTTGGCGGTCTGATCCTCGGTTGTGGAAACATGGAACGTCACCTCTCTGGCGGGGAAGGAGCTGGAGCTTGTGGGGGAGGTTGAGCGCCACTGACTGGATATGGTCGGTCTCACCTCTACGCATAGCGTTGGTTCAGGAACCCAAATCCTTGAGAGGGGTTGGACACTCTTCCACGCTAGAGTTGCTCAGGGTGAGAGGCGGAGAGCGGGGGTGGGATTCTTACTCGCCCCAAAGCTCGCCGCGGGGACGCTGGGCTTTTCTCGGCTGGATGAAAGGGTTGCTTCCCTGCGCCTACGGGTTAGGGAACGGGTCCTGACTGTTGTCTGTGGATATGCACCGAATAACAGTTCGGAGTACCTACCCTTTTTGGAGACCCTAGGGTGGACGCTTGACAGCGCCCCGACTAGGGACTCCATTGTTCTGCTGGGAGATTTCAACGCTCACGTGGGCAATGACAGCAAGACCTGGAAGGGCGTGATTGGGAGGAACGGTCTGCCCGATCTGAACTCGAGTGGTGTTCAGTTGTTGGACTTCTGTGCAAGTCGCAGTTTGTCCATAACTAACTAGCATAAGGTCCATAACCATAACTAGAATAAGGTTGTTCATCGGTGCTCCAGGTCCATAACCATAACTAGAATAAGGTTGTTCATCGGTGCTCCTGGCACCATGACGGCCTAGGCCGTAGGTCAATGATCGACTTTGTAGTCATATCAGCTGACCTGTGGCAGCATGTTTTGGACACTCGGGTGAAGAGAGGTGCGGAGCTGTCAACTGATCAGTACCTGGTGGTGAGTTGGGTCAGGTGGCGGGGGAAAGCACCGCGCGGACCTGGTAAAAAAAAATGTATATATGTATATCTATATATATATATATATATATAAATTGATCTCTTCACATTAGCCTTCAACTAGCATTCTTTTTGCATTTGCTTCACACTTTTGCACTCATGCGACACTTTACAATAACAATGTATTTGATTTGAATCATGCACTCTGTATTCTATCTTTTCACTTTGTTTTTATTCTATTTCATTATTTAATGATTACTGTATGCATTTTATTATCAACGAGATCAACAAGATTCCCGCGAGTCTATGCATGCGTTTATTGTTACTAATTTCTCCAAGATGTCCGCCTCCTCCAGGTAAACAAACACCTGGTTGCATGTTTGTATAACTATTTGCTGTTGTCTGTGGAATAAAAAGGGTGGTGTGTGAGTTGCAAATAGCTTAAACGGCGGTAGAACGCACTACCTCCATTTTCTGCTGCTGCTCGGAGGTGGGGACAGAGAGATCTGCTAGATAACAGGAGACATTGAGAGAAAAATCTGCACATTCATTATTCTAGAGGTAAAATATTTGGAAAATATGGCCCATGGTTGTTTTTGCCTAGAATTGTCCTTTAAGCTTTATTGTCTTTCATGCAGACACTGCGATATACGTGACTGCACCCTCTCATTCATTCGTGGTCTCGTACTGCCATCTAGTGGTGCAAATAAATCGCTACGCGACATGACAGCGGGTGATAACGGAAACACCTTTCCTCAGGCAGACACGCCTGTAAGTCCGCCAACATAAATTGTAGATAAAAGCCAGATAGCAGCTGCTAAAACCTTAGTCACGGTGCAGCAAGAAGTAACTACCATCAAGCTAGACGAAGAACTGACGTCAGGACACCGCTGCTCAGGTTAGGCTGTAACGACTTAAGATCGTACTATTTGTTTACATTGTGTTGTGTGTGTGTGTTATTTTAATAACCTAGCTTTCTTTGTACCAAAATCTAAATTTTCATGTCTTTGACTGACTCTTATAGATCCTACCATTGAGAATTGAGACTACTAAAGTTTATGAGACTGCTTTTAATAATGATATTCTTATGATATTGATTAATTTGGGTTATAGAACAGTTTGTTCCGACCGGTCCCAACCGAGCAATTTGATTGGACAAGAGACGTTCCATGAGTGCTGATATACAGTACAACAGCACTCCCTCTTGTGTGATATTGCTTGATTATACAATTATTGTTAAGCTTCCTAGTAGATTCCTTTCGCCTCCCAAGGACATAGCTTCAGGAAGGTGATGCCCCGAGGTTTTGTTTAACCCTGTATGATTAACCCTTCCGGGACCTTTAGATTTTCCTCCCTCTAAAGTCCCTCGTGGCTGTTAAAAGCCAAAATTTTCCTTAAATTTTTCCTTCCATTTTTTTTTGCTTTTTAAGTGACTTTATGTCATAAATTGGCCCTTAAAGGGTTAAATTTTTTATTTTCAATGAAACATTTGCTAGTTTTGAACAGGGCAGAAGTAAAATAAGAAATGTATAAAAAAAAATCTGAAAAAAATATTAATCCAATATGATTTTACAGCAGACAAAGTAGTTTTGGCCACTGGGAGGCGCCAAAGGCAGTTTTTCATTAAATCTGATGCTACAGAAAAATTGAAAATGCATTGAATTCAATTATATTACTAATCGCTGACATATTCAAGACTTTAATACCCTGCAAGTGATTACCAGTTTCTGATCATGTTTTATTAAAAAAATGGGTCATTTTCCTTCAATTTTTGCTAAATTTGTGACTTTTTGTCTTAAATTGGCACTTAAAGGGTTAAAAAAATTGTTTTTAATGAAACATTTGCTAGTTTCGAACAGGGCAGAAGTAAAATAAGAGATTTGTGAAAAAAAATCAGAAAAAAATATTAATCCAATATGATTTTACAGCCGACAAAACAAGTGGCTTTCAACAGCCACGAGGGACTTTGAAGGGAGTTTTTCTGTCCTGGCTTTATTATTGACCTGGTGAAAATTTTGAATTCATGTTTTCGAATAAAATGTAAAATTAAGCTTAGAAAAAAAATTCATCACATTTGCTGCAGTAAAAAAAAAGTTATATTCAAATTAGTCTCTAGTTCTATCATAAATTGGCTGTTAAAAGCCCGAAGGTTCCGGAAGGGTTTTTAATCAATAACTTGATAATACGATAATTTATGAATAGTGACCATAACTGGTCATGAATCATTATCCTCCATATACCCTACATTGTCAATACATTTAAAAGAATTAAATTCTATAATCTACAATAAAGCGGCAACAGAGTTTCTGTAGGTATCAACAATTAGAGACCTACTTGCAATTTCATGCCTATCCTGGAAAAAAGTTGCTACTTTTTCTGATGAGAGAATTTTATTTTATTTAAATAAAAAAAAATTAAATCAATTTCCCAGCCCCAAATGTAGGGATAATTTGACCAATAGAGTTGTAAAATTCTGTCACTAAAATGCATACAGTTTCAAGTGGGGGTTACTCTCACCTTTCTTGACATTTCTTTTTAAAAAATCCTGTAAATCAATGTTTGCAGCTGAAGTTTGCCAATATATTGATAATAATAATCCAAGTGATAAGAGACCAGAGACTGTCAAAGATTTTGGTTTTTTATAGTGTCCAAAGTAAATTAGAAATGACAATCATGCCCAAAATTAGCTAAGCCATGTAGTGAAATGATAACTCAATTACCATCTGAGTCATCTTTGGGTGAGCCAGGGTCTGGTTCATAAAAACACATCTTCTTCGGTGGGTTTCGCACTCTTTTGGGCATCTCTTTCTTGGTATTTCCTGCTGGGCCATCCATTCTGTTAAATACATAAAAGTACAATATTTTAATTATTTAAAAAGGTGGTTCGATGTCTTATTTTAGTTACTAGTTTTATCATGTCATTATATCTCATAATTTGGTACAGCAACTTGTTGAAACATTTGGATACAGAGATGTGTTACTGTAACCATATCAGACAACTCAGGAACTGAAAAACATGGTCTTTAAGAGGAAATATCCTCATAAATTTCAACATATAACAATTTTGTCCACAGCAAGCACTTTAAATATGCATGAGGC